CTATTGTAGATAAATATATAAATAAAACATATATAAATATATATATATATATATATATTTATTTATACAAATTAATTCAACCGCATGTATGCTGACACACCTTCTCACGGGATTGTTCGCGCTGTATTTCGTCCAAAGATTTCGGTGCAGAGTCTGAGAGTTTTGGTTCCTTAGCGCTGCTTGGCTGTGGCACATGCACAGTCTCGGTTATCGGCTCAGCTACATCCGGATTCTTGGCCCCCCATCCTGGGCGGAAGTGGTGGTATATATAACTTCAGTCAAACGCTTAACGTAGCTCAGAGAAGGTAAATCTCTATACACACTTAAATCAAGCCACATCATACGGTATATCCACGCAGAGTAGCGTCTGGAAAGCATAGCGTCTCTGATATGTCTGATTTGTGTGTAGCCATATACTCCTCGAAATGCGATCATCACTTCGAAACACAGTCTAGTGGGTCGCAAGACAAACCGGGAGACCAAAATTATTTAACGCAATCGAACGGTTTCCCCTATACGCCTACCATGACACAGGCCTGTCAATATCTGCAACCATCCCGTTTAGGCCCACAACTGCCACCCCGTATACCCTTGTACACTTGGAACAAAGCATACCTGTTCCACCAGCGGGAACGATCTGTGTTGTAGGGTCAAGTCCATCATTCTCCTTCCGTAAAGACGGCAAGTTGAGTGGCTGCGGCGCTTTACTCACGCGCCCCAGGAGTTGCAAGCCGGTGCTTCTTTGTGTTCTTGCTGTATACAGAAACGTCGAAATACGGATGAACATATGTTCAGAGTCCATGCTATGTTCGCAGAGAGCCAGACAGATACATTAATGAAAGGATCACTTGCATTACAAACATAGGCGACTGTTGGTAACAAGGAACGTTTGTACATAAGAAAGTTGAAGTTCACGTAACACGCTGCATATTGACAGTTGAAGGAACATTCATAGTACAAGAGATGCACTCCTTATGAGAATCGAATGTCGTATGGATAATTCATGTCGTATGGATAATTCATAGTACACGAGATGCACTCCTTATGAGAATTGAATGTCGAAAGGATAATTCATAGTACAAGAGATGCACCCTTATGAGAATTGAATGTCGTATGGATAATTCATAGTACAAGAGATGCACTCCTAATGAGAATTGGATGTCGTATGGATAATTCATAGAACAAGAGATGCGCCCCTTGTGAGAATTGGATGTCGTATAGATAATTCATAGTACAAGCGATGCACTCCTTGTGAGAATTGAATGTCGTATAGATAATTCATAGTACAAGAGATGCACTCCTTATGAGAATTGGATGTCGTACGGATAATTCATAGTACAAGAGATGCACTCCTTATGATAATTGAATGTCGTATGGGTAATTTATAGTACAGGAGATGCGCCCCTTGTGAGAATTGAATGTCGAATGGGTAATTCATAGTACACGAGATGCACTCCTTATAAGAGATGCACTCATTTTGAGAATTGAATGTCGTATGGATAATTCATAGTACAAGAGATGCACTCCTTATGAGAATTGCATGTCGTTTGGATAATTCATAGTACAAGAGATGCACCCCTTGTGAGAATTGAATGTCGTATGAATAATTGATAGCACAAGAGATGCACCCCTCATGGAAATTGGATGTCGTGCGCATGATGCGAAAATTTATATAAATTTCTGAAGGCCCATTGTGGTAGTATACAACTAATTTATAGATAGAATTCAGGTCAGTCATAAGCTTCTTACAGCACGAACCCAGAAACTATAGCCATAGAAGAACACCGAAAAATTCCATCAATTAACAAACACAACCGTCACCACTCTAACACCGCCCAAATGCGAATTTAACTGCACAAGGACGAAATACACAGCTACGTGAAACTGCAACCAAAATTAAATTCGAAAATATAAATAGACATCATTGTAGGAGTACACAATAGGTGAATAAAAATATATCAACCAACATGACAATAAATAAATAAAAATATACATACTGGGTATCTCTCTCTCAATGTACGTACATGTATTCAAATATAACTACATCGTTATATATATACATATACATATACATACACATATACATCTACATAAACATATACATACACACACATATTTATATATATATATATAAATATATATATATGTATATTTATATATATATATATATTTATATATATATATATATATATATATATATATATATATATTATTATCCTACCTACCATCGTACAAAAGTACATGTATATAAACAAATATAAACAAGTATATATATGGTTTCCTACCTACCTACATATATATAAATATAAATATGTATATAATATACTCATATACGAGTGTGTATGTGTATGTACTACATACCCTATATAAATAGATAAATATGAACACACGCACAAACACGCACACAGACACACACACACATATATATATATATATATATATATATATATATATATATATATATATATATATATACAGACACAGACAGACAGTCAGACAGACAGACAGACAGACACACACATATATATATATATATATATATATATTTATATAAATACAAATATAAATATATTTATATAAATACAAATATAAATATAAATATATATATATATATATATATATATATATATATATATACATATACATATACATATATATATATATATATATATATATATGTATATATATATATATACATATACATATATATATATGTGTGTGTGTGTGTGTGTGTGTGTGTGTGTGTGTGTGTGTGTGTGTGTGTGTGTGGTGAGGT